GATTTAGAAAATAGAGCTTTTGGAATTTGGCCTATTTCCCTTGAAAGCATTCATCTTATTCTATCTCTTGCCTAGCTATTGATTTCCTGAGGTCCTGCTCAGATGTCCCCACCTGCCTCATACTGGGACTTAGATTGGAGGAGATCAGCCATTTCCTCACACACTTAAAACTAATTTGCAGCTGCCAGGCCCTCATTTCTGATCACAAATGTACTGTGTCTTTTCAAGTCTAAAAATAGGATACTAATAACCCGCAAGATTTTGTTGATAGCCAGTGTCCTGGTTTGAACTGCTTATAAAACAGAAGGCAACATCCAAACAAACTGAGCCATGAAGCTGTGAGTCTCATTTCTTAAGGAACTGGTGACCTTCAGCTCATCTTCTTTCTTGTAAGGAGGGACAGGTTCCCTCACCTCCTCCCCTCTCCCCTGTGAGGTACCCTCCCATAGGTTAGTGGCTTCCTTACTCCCGACAGCCCCTCTCATTTGTCCCTTTCCCATTAGGTTCACCCTTCATGGTGTGACCCATCCTCCCCTCCAAACAGCTGCTGAGCCCTTTGGCCCCCAAGGGTACTCTTGCCAACATCCCAACATCTATTTCTCATCGATCAGAGCCAGACTAGGCATGGTAACTAGTCTGGAAGGTGAGAGTGAATACACTTTCTTTTTTCATTCTCTCTTAAGGCCAAGTGTGGATAAATGATGCAGGAAGATGAGAATTCTGTCTAGCCAAGTGGCAGGCAATTGTCAATGCACATTGAAAAGGTGAACCCAGTGAAAGGCTTTGGGACATCAAGCCCCACATGGCGAAATATGAACCTATAGGCGAAACTAACTAGAAACATGAAGAAATCACTGTGTACAGTTCAGATGCTAAAAATAGGGCTAAACTATGAGAGGAACACATTTGTCTTCAGCATTCCTTTCTTCACCTTCCTGCATCCCTTCTTCACCAGGGCTAAAGCCCTTGCTTGACTCTGTCCTGCCTGCCTGAAAGTTGGTCCCATGAGCTCATTCTCACTATATGAACAGGGAAATCTAAACACTTGGTAGCGTTTGAATCAGAGGAATGAATGATCAGTGAAGAATTTAAAAGATCCTAAGTGTTTATTTGTTTGAATTGAACATGGCCCAGGGAGATGGAGAGTGAGCCTTTCTCAGTTACTACAGGTGACTGCTGTTGGTTTCTTCTGTGTACCTAGTTGGCCCAAAGAAAGGGAGCAGTGTGGACACTTACAGAGACATTCGGGCTGCCAAATCATCAGGGTGAGACTCTCTGAATCCTTAACCACCTTCATCTCACTTCCCAAATCCTCAGATGCTTGGATGCCCAAATAAAGGCAAGGTTCCACATGCTGGAGATACCAACATGGCTAAGACTCTTCTCTGTCCTTGAGGATCTCACAGTCAAGCAGGAAGCGACAGACAGGTCCATTTTCTATGAATGGTTCAGCAGGACTAGCTCAAGATTGGACAACCAGGGGAAGGACAACCAGATGGAAAAGGACTATAGGAGGGTCCTATTCTCCAAGTTATCCTGAGCCTGGCTTAGCAAGTCATAGGCCAGGCCCATCTGAGCCTCCAGAGCTCCACCTGGGTGGGAGTGTGGAGTGGGGTAGAAACCCAGCCGGTCCCTTCCACCTTTTTTGGAGAGCATTCTTTTGGGAAACTCACAAGCCCCTTCCCACAAGCCCCTTCTATTTCACTACATAATCCTCAGGCTTCCTGGCCCTAAGGCCTGCTGTAATTCTGTTGAAGGCCAACTGACCCTCTCCTCAACACTTGAACTAGAGTTCTTTAGAGAGACACCAGGGCGTTTTAGCAAGAATGATCTACACAAAGCCTGAGCAATAACTGTGTTTGGCTAACATTACCAGGCTGTCAGCACCAGCCAAGTGATCGGTCTGTGCTGGCCAGAATTCAGAAGATGGATACATCCATCATGCCTCCCTCCTCTGTCTACCTTGGCCTCTGGTCAAAATGCAAAATCCTGTAGCTCCTTGAACTGTCATCCCCCAAATGCTCCATGCTGTCTTCTTCCTGATTCTTCCTTTCACTACTGACCTTCCTTTCATGTGCCTCCCGGAACATTTATTTATGGGGATCAAACTCTTCTGCATCCACTACTTGATATGCACAAAACTTTCTCTCCTTTCTTAACCAAACCTGGCTCTCTCCCAGGAACTACCTGGATAGAAGTTAATTGGGGCACTGTAAGGAATAGTGAGGTACAGTGGTCATCTAGATCTAAAATTCTCATTTTCAGGTCTTCCTAATCCATGGAATCCTTTGTTTAAGTGAAGCCAAAGAGTTGAAGGGGCAGAGGAGAGTTGAAGAACCTGGAAGCCCATTCATTGGTTGCCTCTTTCACTTTCCAAGGAAGTCTCCCACATACCTTGGCTAAATTTGTAGGGTCTGAGGAGCACAATTTGAAGACAAGTGATCTAGAAGATAATATTGTGACAGTTTATAGTGGTTTAGAGATTGTTCGTCCTTTGGCTATAATTTTAGACACATACATGGGTTCTTTTACAATGTTCTCTAATTAAATACCTTTATCTCAAAAGAAGTTCACCATCCTTCTGAGGAAATAGAATTTATTTTGTACCAGTCAACTTTATGATGCAGTTTTCTGGAACACTATGTAGTAAAAAGCAGGGACTATTTTGGCAAGGCATCATTGAACAAGGATCAAGGAGAAATGCTTACATTTGACATTTTGGTAATAGGTGAAGAATAAAAAAACATGATATTCATTTTCCAACAAACATTTATAAGAGGCTCTCTTGTGCCAGGTACCTGTGTGTGCTGGAGATTCCACTGAGAATAAGGATGGGAGTCATTGCCCTGTGAAGCTTACATTTCAGAGGGCCAGGAAAATAGAATACACTAGATGAATGCATGAATTATTTATTTTCAAATAGTATTGTATCCTGTAAAGAAAGTAAATGAAGACTGTGTCATAAAGACTGACTTGGGATTTGTCAAATAACCACAGACTTATTCACTGTTCAATTGTCCAGAGAATGAATCCATTTAATTTCCAGATCTCAAGGCTGAGTAGTAAAATCCAGTGTTCAGAATAATTGTCTAGAGGAGTCAAAATATTACATTATATTTCCTATCCTCATTTTTGAGAAAAAAAGGAGTAAAAAATAGGCAGGAGGAAGGGAAGGATAAAGAAACTGTGTTCTATAGAAAATAGAGAAGAAAATAGAGAAGTGACATGCTTTGGTTGATTAGATTTTCTCTTTGCAAGGTGGAGAAAATCTAATCAACCAAGCCATGCCACTTTCAAAGAATTCTAGCTGGTCAAAAATTCACTGCCCAGATCAAAGCTGTCTTATTGCTTTGACTATTAAGATAGAAAAACTAGGAAATAGTGTTTATATTTAGATATATATTTACTTTTCTTTTTTTTGAGACAGGGTCTTGCTCTGCTACCCAGGCTGGAGTGCAGTGTTGAGATCATAGCTCACTGCAACCTGGAACCCCTGGGCTCAAATGATACTCCCACTTCAGCCTCCCAAGTAGTTGGAATTACAGGTATGAGCCACCATGCCTGGCTAATTTTTAAAATATTTTTTGTAGCGATGAAGTCTTGCTATGTTGCCCAGGCTGGTCTTGAAATCCTCGCCTCAATCATTCCACCCAAGTTCTCCCAAAGTGTTGGGATTATAGATGTGAGCCACTGTGCCCAGCTATTTATTGGGTTTATTTTTCCTGATTCAAAAAATTACCTTCCCTTTTTACTAGAGGAAATTTTGCAGTGGTTTTTATAAATATTTATTTGAATTCAAGGATGTATCATTCCATAATCTAGTTCCCTTTGGATTTACAAATGAGGGTCCTTATCATCTGTGGTCTTTCTATAACTGGAAATACGTCTATAAAAATGCCATACTGTAAAAATTACAGAATCTTTTAGATCAAAGTGATACAATCTATTTCAAATGGATTTACATTATCACTGACTTTTTTTTTTTTTTTTTTTTGAGACGGAGTTTCACTCATGTTACCCAGGCTGGAGTGCAATGGCGCGATCTCGGCTCACCACAACCTCCGCCTGCTGGGTTCAGGCAATTCTCCTGCCTCAGCCTCCTGAGTAGCTGGGATTACAGGCACGCACCACCATGCCCAGCTAATTTTTTGTATTTTTAGTAGAGACGGGGTTTCACCATGTTGACCAGGATGGTCTCGATCTCTTGACCTCGTGATCCACCCACCTCGGCCTCCCAAAGTGCTGGGATTACAGGCTTGAGCCACCGTGCCCTGCATATCACTGACTTTTAAAAACAGTTCTGGGTATATTCTGGACCATATAAATCGCTCTGATTTTTCTGGATTGGCAAATAAGAGGCCGATGCTTCCTTCTCAGAGGAAATGCAATAATGGCGCAGGTGACATAGGCAGGCCCCACAGGATTTCAATGCTATTCCCTTTCCATCCATAAATACAGTTTTTAAAGTCCATTTTTAAGGACATAACCCTTTAGGGTGACATTGAGGTTTTTCCAAAGCAAACCTCTATCCTATTGGAGTCTGTGAAGAACACTAAGTACACTCTGGAATGTTCCTGACGTGGTGGCAGGAGTCGAGGCACATACAAAATCAGAACAGCGTAACTAGTAAAATGTAGACTTAAAATGTGGTTCCAGTGGAGATGCTTGAATGATGGTTGGGATTTGGTTCATCCTCTTCTCTACCATCAGACACTCACATAATAATTGTTAACTTGGGAGTGCATATTAGATACTGTTGGTTGTATACATTCATTCATGCAACAACCCCATCAGGTGTCTACCATTGTTATACTGTTTGCAGATGCAGAAATTGAGGCTAAGTTGGATAATTTGAGCAATCACACACACTAGTAGTTGGTGGAATGAGCATCCCAACTGAGGCAATCAGCTCTGGAGGCTGCATTTGTAAACTCCACACTATTAAGCACTCTGCTTTGATCTCATTGTATGTTGACATTTCTTGTATATTTAAAAAAAAAAAAAAAAGTAAAGACAGATTACATTGTTAACACACAGAACCTCCTCCTCAAACCAGGTGTGAAGACCACCTGCCTGGAGCAATCAAAACACCTATATCTAGTATAGCTGTACCTTAGCAGGAAGAGTAACCTGTTATCTCCATAGAGGGGCTAAGTCCTGGTCACAGAGAAGCGGCTTAGTGCTTCCCCACTGAGTCCACACCTGGGACAACAATAGCAATAAGAAGACAATGGCAGTAATTAATGACAACACCTATCATGAACTGAGTGCTTGCTCTGTGCTAGGAATTAAGGTATTATGCTTAGTGCATTGCAGAATTATCTCCACGTACTCTTCCTCAAACCTGTGAGGTCAGAACTATTGTTATTCTTAAGTATAAGATGAGGAAACCCAGATTTAAACTATGTGTCTTGCCCAAGGTCATGGAGAAGTCCCAAGTGAAAAATAGTTGAAACTCTGTCTATCTGATTGCAGAGCCGCCTGAGTCCTTAACCACTAACTTCTACACAGTCCAAGGTCAATGAATGTAGCTGTCATGAGCAGTAGGGGTCGGGTTAACTGTCTGAGTCAGAGACAGAAAGATCAGGGTCTGCTAAGAAGACGGTGGAGAAAGAGTACAGCAATTTCAAATGTACTCAACAGTACATTAACGATCATTTTACCTGCCTGCTGTTTGTTCAGCTAAGCTATCTCCACTCATGAGCTCTTTAATTCATTCAGCAAACATTTACTGACTGCTTCATCCTGAGTTATAAAGATAAGCAAGTCCCTGTCCCCAGAACCTCCAGCCTAGTAGAGAAGTTGTGCTGATACATATCAAAGAAAATCATCACTAACCAAGCAAACAAATGAACAAATCAAACCCCACCAACCCTGGGGGCCTCCTCTCTGGACGACTCCCTTGCCACTTACAGAGTCTGGTGGGAGAGGGAGCTCACCTATGCCTGTGTGAGGGAAACAGATTTCCAAGCTCCTGCTGTTGATGCATCTGCCAAAGAGAGCAGTTCTGCAGGAGACAGCACTTTATTATTTATTAGCGAGTTGTGGATATTCAAAGACAGACCCAGATCTTAGTGGAGGGAATGAAGAGTGAAGCTGCTCGACATGAGTGCTTAGCAGGAATTGGGGTTGGCGTGTGCAAAGAAGATGGGCATGTGTTGATGGCCTTGCAGGTGAGACAGCATGGAAATCCAGGCGGTTCTCTGGAGGGATAGAGCTGAAGGCAGGGAATGGGTGATGGAACGTTTAGGACACTGTTACTTCACACATGCTTAGTGCTTGTGTGAAATTTAAATTGCTTCCTGTATTATGATTGACTACAATTGAATTTTTTCTCCCCAGATCTTTAGTAAATAACTGACATGCTGGTGTTTCTTGGGGGAAGGAGAGGGAAGAGCTGCTCTGAGCATCCAGGAAGCAGCAGGGAAGAAGAATGCAGAAATGAGACCTGCAGCCCACATGTGGTCACAGAAACCTTGTAGAGAGAGCTTAACTTGCCAGGCTGTGATGCTCATAAGGTGTGTGTGGAGGACCAGGAGTCAGGCCAACGCTGAGAGGGCGGAGACACCTGCTGAAGCGAAGCACTTCTGAAGTCTAGTTGACTGGGGCTACTCTATAGACCCTACTCTTGGGAGCAGAGGAGGCAATTTGAGCTTCAAATTAGGATCTGTGAAGCATCTAGCCTGTGCCCGGCACATCAGTCAGAGCAAAGTGGGAGAGAGGAACACAGATGTATATCATTTCAGTGGAATCCAGTAAGTGCAGAGTGTTAGAGACCACAAAGGGAGCCTTCAACAACTGTGAGGGCTCCCTGGATGAGATTATGCCTGCATTGGGCCTTGAAGGATGAGCCAGAGTAGCCTAACAGAAAAGGGGCAGGAGCATTCAAGCAAATGAAAGAGAGTAACAGAGCTACATGGGTGAGGAGCATCCGAGCAAATAAAAGAGAGAAACAGAGCTACGTGGGTGGAGGAACCTGCAGCAGTGCTGCAAGGCTGAGAGTCCGCAGGGTGGGGGAGAGATGGGAGGAGGGGTAGGTAGAGGCCAGGTGATGGCACGTGGGTGTGTCCTGGGGAGGATGTTCCAGGAGGATTGGGAATCTGCTGCCTGGAATGCTGAGGATAATCTCCCTGTTTCTCTCTGTGGTTCTCTACAAGTATCCATTCCATTCTCTTCCAGGGTTTCTGCTTTCTCTGGTGTGCATTACATGTAGAAGACAGAAGATTGCCAACTAAATCTCTGTGGTTTTACCTTGGTCTCACCATCTTGCTATCTCTCATCTCCTCTACTCTTCTCTCCTCTCTCTGCTTCTCCTTTTCCTCATTCTATTCCTCTTTTTCTCCTTCTCCCTTCTTTTCTTTTTCTCCGTCTTCTTCTCCTCCTTCTCCTTCCTATTCCTCTTCTTTCATTCTTCCTATTCCTCTTCTGTCATCCTTTCCTCCCATCAACCCCACCCACACACTCCCTGGGAATAGGCTCTGATTGGTTATCAGTGGGTCAAACGGACATCTGTAGTCCAGTCGACTGGGCCCAGGGTGCAGGGTCATGACTGCCCCTGCCATGCATTTGATCAGCATGACTGCGAGGAACCAACTTCTTGTGTATGAGTGTAGGGTGGGAAGCTAAGAGGATATCGTAAGCTGGGCAACCTCCCCAGAGCAACCTCTCCTGGAAAGAGCTGTCTTTGTTACTCCTTTATATCTGTACATTTCATACAGTGCTGAGCACCCCTATGTGATTCTTAGAAGCTGCAGACTGGTTGATCGATTGCAGAACCATCTTCACATTAGGAAAGAAAACCTACCAGAGCAGGGATAATAAAGTCAGTTACAAGGCAGTATTTGAGGACCACGATTTCTCGGCATCCTCAGGTAGCCCTGGACACAGAGCCAGCTAATCGATGGACGGCCTCAACATCACAGCTGTAGTGTTTTTCCTCTGTCTTCATCCCTCCTGTTTTTCTGCCCTTTCACTTTCTACACTTCAGAGTTCAAACCTCCATTCTTCCTTAGCACTTCGCTCTGTCCCTTCTAGGCTCCCCATATCAGGGTCCTAGAGGGAAAGAAAAGCAAACAGTGGACAGCACTGTGAGAACTTAATCTGGTTTTAGCCTTAGCATAATCCACCTCTGTGACCTTGGGCCAATTATTTGATCTCTCATACCTTTTATTTTCTCAGCTATTAAAAAAAAAAGAGGCTGTGATGATTTGCAGAGTTGTTTCCAGGAGACTTAAGAATCTGCAGAAGTGTTCCATGGCAGCCACAGATAGGAAGGTTCATGAGAGACTCATTCCTAACTTCAACTAGCAGGGCACCTACGATTTTATAGTAACAGGTTTCAGATTGAGAGTGCTACTGCTAACCAGGACCAGTTGATCTCTAAGGCTCTTTTACATATTACTTAAGAATTTTGTAGGCCGGGCGCGGTGGCTCACGCTTGTAATCCCAGCACTTTGGGAGGCCGAGGTGGGTGGATCACAAGGTCAAGAGATCGAGACCATCCTGGTCAACATGGTGAAACCCCATCTCTACTAAAAATACAAAAATTAGCTGGGCATGGTGGCGCACGCCTGTAATCCCAGCTACTCAGGAGGCTGAGGCAGGAGAATTGCCTGAACACAGGAGACGGAGGTTGCAGTGAGCCGAGATCGCGCCATTGCACTCCAGCCTGGGTAACAAGAGCGAAACTCCGTCTCAAAAAAAAAAAAGAATTTTGTTAGGCAGCAAGGAAAGTGTTAACAGAAGCCTTTGAAAGAGAACGGTCTGCCTTTCGCTCATATAAAAGAAATATGGAGTTCAGGGTCAGCCTGGCAGCCCCATAATATCAGAAATGACCCTGGCCTCCTTCTTCCTTCTTAATCCATCATCTTTAGCACTGGCTACTGGCTTCCATTCTCACACTTGCTATATACACATATATATTTTTTGAGACAGAGCCTTACTCTAGGCTGGAGTGCAGTGGCGCGATCTCCACTCGCTTTAGCCTCCGCCTCCTGGGTTTAAGCTATTCTCTTGCCTCAGCCTCCCGAGTAGCTGGGACTAAAGGCGTGAGCCACCATGCCTGGCTGATTTTTGTATTTTTAATAGAGTCCAGTTTTCACCATGTTGGCCAGGCTGGTCTCAAACTCCTGACCTCAAGTGATCTGGTCACCTTGGCTTCCCAAAGTGTTAGGATTACAGGTGTGAGCCACTGCGCACGGCCACCACACTTGCTATATACTTACTGAACACTTATCTATATATGCTTGAATGTCCACATGTATAAAAATCCAGAGATCTCCAGGAACTTCTCCAAGCACTTTGTCCGTGAAGTTTTCTATAGGCAGAGTGAGAAATTCTCACCACCGGGTACTTTTTCACTGTGTTTAGATCTGTTAAGCATTATGCTTAGCATATTGTATTATATGTCATCTCTCATGTGCCACATGGACCTGGGCTCTGTGACAATGACACCATGCCTCACTCCTTTTTGTGTTCCTGGTGCCTAACCCTGTACTCAGCATCCAGCAGACATAGCTGAATAGATGGGTGAGCGAACGGATGAGTCAACACATCATTCCGTCCTCACTCCCCATAGTCCATCTCTAACAGATGAGAACTGGATTATTTGGTCACATTTGTTCTCAAGGAGGAATAGGACACAGGTGATTATCTATGGGTCTGGAGCTCCAGGACAGGTCTAAGCTGGAGGTTGATTTGAGAATCCTCAACTATATGTGGAAGTTAATTTATGAGATGGACTGAGATCACAGAGTGGGCCAATGAAGGAAAGGAATGCTAGGGAACACCTCTAAAAGAAGTGAGTAGAGACTGGGAACTGTGGTTCATGCCTGTAATCCCAGCACTTTGAGAGGCCGAGGTGGGTGGATCACTTGAGGTCAGGAGTTCGAGACCATCCAGACCAACATAGTGAAACCCTCTCTCTACTAAAAATACAAAAATTAGCCGGGTATGGTGATGTGCGCCTGTAGTTCCAGCTACTCTGGAGGCTGAGGCAGGAGAATGGCTTGAACCCAGGAGGCAGATGTTGCAGTGAGCTGAGATCATACTACTGCACACCAGCCTGGGCAACGAAGCAAGACTCCACCTCAGGAAAAAAAAAAAAAAAAAATGTGAGTAGGAAAAGAGGATGCCGCCCAAGGAGGCTGAGAAGGAATGGAGACATGGGAAGAGAATTGAGGCAGAAGGGGCTTCAGAAGGCATGATGGGCAACAGCATCAGAGGCTATGATGAGGGCAAGGGGTCCGCCTGCTCTTCCCTGCCCTGCCCTCTTGACCAGCTTTGAGAGCTGGTCACCAGCTGCATCCAGGCCCTGCTCCTCACACTCAGCACCCCGAAGGACCACATTTCCCAGGAGACCAGAGATATCTATTCCCCACACACAGCCACGTCCAACCATCACAACCACACCTCCTCCATTATAAGATAATTTTGTATATAGCAAAAGGAGTTACAACTAAAATATATAACTATATGTAAGGCACAGAAGGCATACTTGCTGCTGAGGTTCTTTGGCTGAGATGGTCATAGCTGAGATTCCTCCTGGGGTAATACAACTAAAACCAAGCTCTGAGTCAAGGGAACAATCGGGATCCAAGCCAGATCTCCAGGCTGGGGTTACACCCGTTAACCAAGTGTATGCCAAGAAGCACTGGTTATAGGGACTATTAATAAACATGCTGAGTAAAACAAAACAAAACAAGAGTCTTGTATGTAAGTGAGAAACAGGAAGTCAGAAGCTGCTGGCTGAGCCGGGGGTTGGAAGCTAGAAGCTCAGAATCCAGAGCAGCAGAAGAAACTCTCGAGTTCAGCCTCAGAGCATTAGCTGGCAGTAACAAGCTGCTAAGAGCACTGGCGAGGGAGAGCTGATTCTTACCGGGGAGCCCTAAGGCAGTTTCCCAGGTTGGCAAGTGGGCCTAGCAAACAATCATGTGGCGTGAATGACTTAGAAGGGTTTTGAGCTGCACTTGGAAGAATGGCAGATATGAAGGTGGGAAGGTCATTCTGGGCAGAAGAAAACATTTGAACGATTGCCTGGAGTGCAGGGTTAGTTCTGGCTGCAGGTGGCTGGAAAGACGATGAGGCTTTTGTCTGTGCACTCAGCATCTCCCCAGGGAAGGAAGAACTACTTTTAGGCTTG